ATATATGGTAGCTGAAGGAAACTGGACTTTGGGTGGTAAACACAATAGAATATATAGATGTCAAATGATAATGTATACCTGAAAATTATATAATTGTATTAACCAATGTTACCCCAATAAACTTAATAATAAAAAAAAAAAGAATTTATCACTGCAGTTTTATAGTAGAGCAAAGTTTATTGGTTAAACACAGTGTTGGTAATATTATGTAAACTTATTGAGTTCAAGTGCCATTCCCTTTTGATTCTATATAATATAGAATTAAAAATATTTTGTCTGTCATATACATTTTTTGAATTTCTGTTCATTCATGTTTCTCCATTTTCTCAACCTTTAACATTTACTCATATGGCAGCATGCATCATCTGTGCTTCACTATTTAATAAGTGAAGTTTAGTTAGTTAATAACTACGTGTTATTTCTTTTGGGGATAGGTAGAAAGAATATATGCTCTGACTTTTCACTCAGATTGATTTATTTTGGATATATTAAATATTTTCACCATTATGCAGCAGCATAATAAAATACTGTGGCAGAGATTAGTAAAAAATAAAAATAAAAAAGCTAACTTCTTATGAAATATTTATAAATTACTTTTTTTCAAACTTTAATCTCTAAATAGCAAGTAAGAGCAAGAGCCACAAAGAATAAGTTTGAATCCTGGCTCTACCAATTTACTAACTACCTAAGCTTAGGCAAGTTTTCTTTTGGTTTTGTTTTGTTTTTTAACCTCTCATGCCTGAGTTTCTACATCAGTGAAGTATCTTCACAAGAACCACAGAGTTATTGTGAAGATTATATTAATTAATTCATATTGTCATGAACGAAATGCTTAATAAATATTAGCCATTTTTTGTATTGTACATGGTGCCTTGAACATTATAACTTATTCTTCTCCATTTATTAATCACAATAGCAACAATAACAGTAGCCACTAAGATTTATTGAGCAATTATCATGTGACAGAAACTAGGCCAGACACCGCACATGTATTATCTTATTTAATTCTCACAAAAACTTTATGAAGTAGGTCATATTGTTGTCCCATTTTACTGATAAGGAAAGTTAAGATTATTCACCCAGGGACATGCAGTATATACTAAGCATTCTTATTTCTCTTTCTCTCTCTCTCTCTCTCTCTCTCTCTCTCTCTCTCTCTCTCTCTCTCTCTCTCTCTCTCTCTCTCTCTCTCTCACACACACACACACACACACACTCATATGTACTCATTGGTTTGGTCAACTAGTCATTAAGCAAATATGTGCTACCACTTACTATGTGCAGGGTTCACCGAATCCTGCAGGAGAGAGGATGGGAGAGAAGAGATAAGCATGGAATGGTCCCAGATATCAAGGCATTCACAATCCATTGCAGGAGATACTCATCTCCATATAACTAAAATGAATGATATGACAGAAGTGCTCCAAGTATAAACCATGTGCTATGAGAATGTAATCACTTCTAACCTGAAGGATTGAAAAGTAAGCATCAAAGCATATAAAAAGCCTTGAACTGGGAGAGAACTAGGACAAGAGTATTTCAAAGAGAAAGAGCAGCACAAACAAGCCACACAAGTGTTATATTGGATGGAATATTGCAGGACAGGCAGATAGAGTTTGACTGCGAGTGCAGGGTCATAAGGCTAGGAAGGTAGCTTTGAAATGTTCCTCATGCTTTTGTGTGTATAACAATGAAGCAAACCATGCATTTTTTTGAAACTTCACTTGTTTTCCCAAATATTTGGTCCAAGTAGAGTTAGGCAAAGCTAGGAAGTAAGTGAAAAAGGAGACTGTTCTGAATCTATGCTAGGCACTTCACTGATATTGGAAGAAGGTCAGAGTTGGCTTTAGACCAGACTATCTAAGCTGCTTTTCTGATGTTTAACATCTATTTTACCTCTTGGGAATTACCCACACACAGGAGCAAATCTACTCCAGTTCTAACAGCTCTGGGCAAATGTTAACCAACCCCTAGTTTAGCATGGGCTGTTCAGAACCAAATCAAGATCCAGTATTATCGAGCTAGTTTAGTTAGTTAATAACTACGAGCTAGGGTGGGTAGGGCCACCACTAATATCTGGTTGGCAAAATGCCAGATGACAAAATATACCATTTCACCCATAAAACTCTTACTTTTTCTCCACCCACAATAGGATTTATTTAGTTATCAAGATATTATATCAGTATATTAGAGAAAACCTAATAAGAAAAAAAGGATGGTAATTTTTACTCCATGCCACCTAAAGATATACTTCCCAGTAATTTCCAAGTCCACTAAAAACTGAAATCTGAAAATTTCTCTCATCTTACTATCCATCCTATAATTACCTTAAATTTAAGCCTTGACTCTACTTCTTTGATACTTAAGTACTAATCAACTATTGGTTACTTATTATCAATGATTAATTGTTAATCAATGACCCATTAATTTCCACTCAATATTATTCTAAAAAAAATTAATTAAAAACAATAGACTAAGATAAAATATGTCATTTCTGAGGACCTTTAATCACCTAGTAAGTATAATAGTGAATGGCAACCTGCCTAACCTTTTCATGAAAGATTTAGAAATTGCATTTTTGATGGTACTAATTGGAGCAGTAGTTCATCTGTAGTTGCCATTGAGTAGGTGTTAAAAAAAATCATCTCATCTTAACATTGTTAAGGCTGCAAATCTTTTTTGTCTGGCCTTGGTTTGGTAAAAATGGGTCTTGGAGGCCATCTACAATAAGCAGATATTAAAACTAGGGTTATAAATGATTGTTTTAGTGTTCCAGATGTTTAGATTCCCAAAAGATCTTACTGAAAAGGATACATTGTTTTAATTGTTCCTCACTATATATGATGAGAGAATATCATTTGTCTACTCTTCCTCCCAGGTTGCCGTTGAGGACCGCATCAGGCAGCTGCACGAAGCTCACAGAGACTTTGGCCCGACGTCCCAGCACTTTCTTTCCAGTAAGTTGTTGTCAGCTTTCATTGCTGAACCTCTTCATTGCATCTTGGTGGCTAAGAAATAAGAGTTGAATTACAATCATCTCTGCCAAATGCACTGGAGGCATAAATCGTTCTGAAAGATAACTTGGTGGGTGAATTCTGAAGGTTAGAAAGAAGAGGATAAATTAGATCATTTTGTTCAGTCTTAACCTAATGCATAATTGTTTTCTGCAATGTATTCTCAAGTGCTAACTTGGATAATATTTTTGAGTCTAGTTTTGCTTATAGTAGTTTACTTCATACAGTTGATAATTATGCTATCATATAATTATGGTATAATAATTCAATATATATTACTGTGAATCTATAATTTTATCTCCGTATAATTCATTAAATACTCCTTGCCCCCAACTTGGAATCTCACCCTGTTATGTTTCCTTTTCCTAACTATTCTTATCATTCTTTTATCCTTGACCTCTATTCATTCTTTTCATTTTCCAGTTTTGCTATTTTATTAATTATGTTATTATAATTAATTATGTTGTTTATATATTTTATAAATATTATATTTAATAATTAATACTAAGAGGAATAGCCTTAGTTAACTGAAAGTTTAATATCGTAACACCCTATTAATATAACAATCTATATTAAGTTGTCAAGCTCTCGTTTTATCCCAAATAATATTCATTTATACCACTCTTTCTTTCATTAGAAAAGTATATATGTTGAGTTTTTTGGTACTTAAAAAGCCATACTTCTACTACATGCAATTAACATATGATAACATTTTGGTGTATTTCCTTCTGGTCATACACAAGTATATATGAGGGTTTAACCATCATTTAAGGCAATAACTTTGTGTCTGGCAATGTTATAAATATAAACTAATTTAATCTGTATAGCAATCTATCGGGTAGATACTATTATTATACCTATTTTAAAGATGAAGAAATTGAAGCATGTAGTTACACAGCTAGCAAATGACAGAGCCAGAATTCAAACAAGAAGTTGGCTTCAGAATCTGTGTTTTTAACCACCACACCAGACTGTCTTTTACTTATTTATATATGTTATAGAAAGGAAGTAATTCTATATGATCTCCCTTCATTCCTCTGACTTCCTTTATTGCCCTTTTCTAGTCCTTTCTTTTCCATTTTCCATAAATTAATAAAAAGATCCACACTCACAAAACATTTTAAAGTGTTTGACTAGATGCTTTCATGTGTCTCTCCAGTTGGCCATTATCTTTTAGAATAAAAATTCCGAGATGATGGTTGTTCTGTCTTTCTGTTATACTTTAATAATGTATCAAGTAAGAAGCTGTCTTATTTTCTGACTGGGTCTAACCTTATTATTTGCATGAAGTTGTTATTTGAACAGTATCACACATGCTTTGGTGGTGCCAAGATAAAATAGGAAGGTTAAAACAGTGTACATAGTTGAGTGGGATTATGTCTTTAGGAATGGCTCTAGAACAATTATAAAGCCTACAGATTTTGTCTTGTATATTTTTCCAAATCTCTGATCTGCTTAAGTCACCTTAGTGGTAGCCATTCTATTAGATTTAATTGAGATTAAATGCAATAACATACTTGTAAGTGACTCATAAACCATAAATAAAATATTACTATTACAAATATTAATTACTCCTCAGACACCATATATATTCATTCATCCTTCATTCTCTCTGCATGCCCCACCTGAATTTCCATGTCTTCTCCATTAAAACCTATTCTCAGAAAATGATATGTTATATTCATTTAACCCAGGTGACAGGTAAAGTTTAATGTGTACTTCTCCTTGGTTATTTGCATTTTAATACAGTGAAAAGCCATAAAGTTGAGGAATGACTCTCTGGTGGTAGAATGTCAGCTATAGTCGTTGAGCTGTAAGGAAAGAACTTTGAGGGGCCACGTGGAGCAATCTCACACCTTTCAAACCATATCACACAGGTGCCTGCTTTCAGAAATGTCAGGCCTGAAGAAATAGATACTCATAAACACACTGATCTGCCTGCCTAATAGGAGCCAGCCCTACAAGTCACCGATTTCTTGGATACTCATGTGGATTATTAATATATGTTTAGAAGCTTCGCTTGCAGACATTAAAAATGCCAATTTGCTTTCATGGGTAGTTGTGAAATAGGACAAAGTCAAACTGAAGACTAAATAAAGGTTATTTCTTTATGTTCTCTTTTTTTTAATTACAAAGGTAAGATATGTCCCCGAAAGAAATTTTGGAAAGCAGAGGAGTTCAAATAGGAAAAAAAAATCATCCTTAATTTCACCATTCATAGATAACCATTATAAAAAATGTGGTTTATATACTTATTTTATCTCGGATTCTGTGTGTGTGTGTGAATTCAGATTCTCTTTTTTTCTTTTAAACCAAACAGGGATATAGACATATTACAGTTTTATAACCAGCTTTTTTCCTTTAGAACTATAATAAAAATATTTTCATGTGTTTAAATATTTCTCTACAGAACAATTTTTTAAATGGCTGCGTACTAGTCCCTTCTGTGGCTATACTAGATTTACCAAGATAAGTTTGAATCACTCAATATTAAGATTATTTCAGATTATTTCCAAAATTGTGACTAACATTTTTGTGCACCTTAGTAAACACATTCTTCCTGCAACATAAATGCCTAAAAACAGAACTGCTGTGTTAAGGGACATTTACTTTGGTAAAGCTTTTGATACGAATTGCCAAATGACCTCTACAAAGTTGCACAAGAAATGTGGTGCACCATTAAAACCATATTTGAGGGCAGAGCATCTCTGAAGTCATTTATCTACTGTTAAATTGTGTTCTATAAAAGAAAAACAGCTTCCCCTCAAAAACAAATAAAAATATGTTTGAAAAAATACCACTAAGGTCATATTAAGTGAATTTGAAACGGTAGATGTTTAGTAATTTGCTTCCAGGTTACTAAAAATAATAATAAAATGGTTTTAGAGATTTAGAATTTACAAAGAAAACTAAGGATGAGCCACTAACTATACCACCCCAAACATGCACACTGTCTCAGTATCTCTCTTCATCATATTCTCCTTTCTCTCTCTTTCTCTCTCCCCCTCCTTCCCTCCCTCCCTCCTCTCTCTCTACCCCCTCCCTTCCTCTATCTCA